TTGCTCCCAGGCAGGCTGGGAGGAGTGTGCTGCAGAGGTAGCCCACAGCTCCTCTGGCCAACTCAGGAACTGCACCAACAGTTCTGGAGGCAGGAATCCTTGAGAAGGTAGGTGCAATGTGGTGGAAGTAAAGCTGGCATGGAGAATGGGGGAGTTATGTATATTTGTTATAGATATCTTATTCCCCTCAGGTTATCTCTTTGATATTAACCTGCCTGACTGCTGGGAGTTAGATCAATAGGGATTGTTAAAGGAACTAAGCAGGAAGTGATTGTGTGATTAAAGGGTGGGAAAACAGGCCTTATAGTGACAGACTCAAGGAGTTCCATCTATTTAGCTCAAAGAAAAGGGTGAAAGGTGACTTGGTTACACGTACGCAGGGAACAACAAAATGATAATGGGCTCTTCAATTTAGCATACAAAGATATAACAAAATCCAATGGCTGGAAGATGAAGCTAGACAAATTCACACTAGAAATAAGGCATAATTTTTTTTACCAGTGAGGATAATTAACCATTGGAACAATCATAGAATCATAGACTTTAAGGTCAGAAGGGACCATTATGATCATCTAGATCAGGGGTTGGCAACCTATGGCACGTGTGCCAAAGATGGCACGTGAGCTGATTTTTAATGGCATGCTGCTGCCTGCCCGAGTCCCGAGGACACACTGCCCCAGAAAGGAGCCGCCTCAGCGGCCTGCCCGTGGGCTCCCGCGTCCCCTCACCCGGCGAGGAGCCCTGCCTGGGGGCGCGGAGGGGGCCCGCTCACCTGGGCCGCTTTGGTGTAGCTGGCCATGGTGGATTGGTGGCGCGCCGGGGGAGCGGGTTCACTGCCGGACCCGGTCCCGACTCCTGGCGGCAGTAAGCAGGGGCAGTGGAGGCGGGAGAGGCCGGGGGTGGCAGCAGCGCTGGCTGCTGAGCATCCCCATGAGGAGGCGCCCGGCCGCGGCCATGGATCGGTACTTGCTGGGAGGAGCGGAGAGCCCCGCGGCCCGGCGGCGCTGAGTGCACAGCAGGTGTGGGCGAGAGGGAATCGGTGGTGGCCAGAGAGCCCTGGGGCGAGGAGCTCGCATACCGCGGGGTCATGCGCCGCCCGGAGCGGCTCCTCCAGACACAGCCAGAGGGGACTCTCTTGCCGGGGAGAGCTAGTTGCGCTCGTGCGGTGTGCCACGGGGCCCCGAGTGGGTGAGCCAGCTGGGGGCTGCAGGAGTGAGGGGAGCCCTCTGCCCTGACCCCCCCCACACACCCAGCCCTCTGTCCTGAGCCCTGCCCCCCTCACACACACCTAGCCCTCTGCCCTGACCCCCCCCACATACACACCCAGGCCCCTGCCCTGACCCCCCCACACACACACCCAGCCCTCTGCCCTGTGCCCTGTCCCCCCCCACACACACTCACCCCTCTGTCCTCTGCCCTGCCCCCCCCCCCCCCCCTGACCCCAGCCCTGACTCTGGCACCCCCACACATACCCAGCCCCCCCCGCCCTGACACCTGCACCCCCTCTCATGCCCCCAGCCCTCTGCTCTGACCCTTGCACCCCCCCACATACCCAGCGCTCCCACACCCTATGCACCCCCCACATCCCCACCCCCACCCTGAGCACCAAACAGGAGCTCCTGCACCCCTCGCACATTCCCACCTGCACCCCTCGCACCAAATGGGAGCTGCCCAGGTAAGTGCCCCACACCCAAATCTCCTGCCCCAACTCTGAGCCCCCACCCTCATTTTAGCTCCTGGCCAGACCCTTCACCCCCAGCCCTGTGCACTCCCACCCTCAGCTCAGTGCAGAGAGAGGAAGAGAATGGGCCAGAACCAGGCAGAAGGTAGGTACCCACTGTATATGGGCAGGACCGGGACCCCAGACCGGCAGCGAGCTGAGCAGGTCCGGCAGTCGGGATCCCAGCTGGCAGGAGCCGGCGGATGGAACCCTTGAGCGGCAGTGGGCTGTGGGGTCCCGGCCACCGGCCCCGCACAGTCCGCTGCCGGTCTGGGGTTCTGGCTGCCAGACCCTTGCCAGCTGGGGTCCTGGCCGCAGGCCCCGCTCAGCCCGCTGCCGGCCTAGGTGAACAGAACCCCAGACCAGCAGCGGGCTGAGCGGGCTGGCGGCGTAAGATCAACATTTTAATTTAATTTTAAATGAAGCTTCTTAAACGTTTTGAAAACCTTGTTTATTTTACAATACAACAATAGTTTAGTTATATCATATATAGACTTATAGAGAGAGACCTTCTAAAAAACATTAAAATGTATTACCGGCACGCGAAACCTTAAATCAGAGTGAATAAATGAAGACTCGGCACGCCACTTCTGAAAAGTTGCCGACCCCTGATCTAGATTCTAGTCTGACCTCCTGCACAATGCAGGCCACAGAATCTCACCCACCCACTCCTGTATCAAACCTATGTCTGAGCTATTGAAGTCCTCAAATCATGGTTTAAAGATTTCAAGGTGCAGAGAATCTTCCAGCAAGTGACCCATGCCCCACACTGCAGAGGAAGGCAAAAAAAACCCAGGGCCTCTCCCAATCTGCCCTGGAGGGAAATTCCTTCCTGACCCCAAATATGGCGATCAGCTAAACCCTGAGCATGTGGGCAAGACTCACCAGCCAGACACCCAGGAAAGAATTCTCTGTAGTAACTCAGATCCCTCCCCATCTAACATCCCATTGCAAGCCATTGGGCATATTTACCGCTAATATAAAAGACCAATTAATTGCCAAAATTAGGCTATCCCATCATACCATCCCCTCCATAAACTTATCAAGCTTAGTCTTGAAGCCAGATATATCTTTTGCCCCCACTACTCCCCTTGGAAGGCTGTTCCAGAACTTCACTCCTCTGATTGTTAGAAACCTTCCTCTAAGGGTTGTGGTGGCAATACAATCACTGACAATTTGTAATCAAGATTGAGTGTTTTTCTAAAAGATCTGTTCTAGGAATTATTGTGGGGCAGTTCTCCGGCCTGTGTTATGCAAGAGGTGAGATTAGATGGCCACAGTGGTCCCTTCTGGCCTTAGAATGTATGAACCTATGAAAGGTAAAACAATGACATAGATAAGAGTCCTGGAGGAAACAATAGAAATTGTGTTTATTGGGGAAAACCCCCTATCTGTCCCCAGCCAGGCTACAATGGATTACTCTTCCCAAGGCTAAAAGCTGAGATTAAAGGGGCTTCTAAACCTCAAAGACCCTAGAAAGGGAGCGGAGTTGGGTGGGAGAGGCTAAGAGAAGCACCCAGAATGTCAGTGAAAAGCTGACAGGCTGGCAAACACACAGAGCTAGAAACTGCAGCAAGGGTAGTTGCTCCCTGCCAGAGATGGAGTTAGCGGGGCTGAGAGGAATTTACAAAGATGTAAGTAATATGCAGGGAGGTTGGCCTTTTGTTATTTTTACATTTTGCTCTTTGTACATTTGAGGAATGAATAAATAATGCGTTGGTTGATTTGAAGATGCTGTTTCTGTGTCACTGCAAACTTATGTTGTCATAAGCTCCCAAAGAGAACCTTACAGTTGCCAAAAGCGCACTGCGCCAGCGTAGCTAACATGGTTTGGAACCGGGGGGCTGCAGCTCAGAGAGCCAGTCTGAATGACTGGACCATGTTTTTGGACCCAGAGTGAGGTACAGGAAGACAAGCAGGCTTTGCACCTTGGGTCTGAACTTGAGAGGGGCTACAACTCTGCCTAAGGCATAATTTACCCTGAAGCTGTGACAGCCAGATGTTACGGAGAGGTGCTGCTGGGTCCCACCCCACCTCTCCAGGCAGGCTACCAGTCCTAAATTGGGTTTTTAAATACTTCTCCATCCTGCCTCCCATTGGCAGGGGAAGCAAAACTACTGCCTCCTTATCACTGCAACCAGCAGCAGACTCTGCTCTGTCTCTGCCCCTTCACCGTAGAAAAGGTTGGGGGAGAGAGGAGGCACCAAGAAACAACCATCTTTCCTTGGTCAAGGCTAGGGTTGTTGGAAGCAGGAATGGGTAGGGATGGGGACTGGAAAGAGTCAGAATGTCAGGACCGTGGGGATGACGAGCTGGGGGAGCTTAAAGATTGTGAGGTTCCTGAGAGGCTGAAGAGCTATGAGGTGCTCTTTGGGGAGTGGGGGCAGAAGGACAGAGGAGAGACTTTAAAAGGAAACGGAAGCTTAATTAGCTATGGGTCTGACAACAAAGGACCTTGGAGGCCTGAAGCCAGCATAGCTGTCTCCAGATGACGTAGAACAAAGGGTAGGATGAAGTAGTGAATGCTGGAAACTGCTACTCATGGGAGTTTTGTATCCCCTGGATGCTCCAAGTGAGAGCAGGACCCTAGCGTGCTAGGTGCTGTATGGTCCCACTGGGATGGTCCCTGCCCCGAAGTGGCTACAATCTAAACAGCCAGCCCAAGGGGTGGGCGAGGCTGTGGGCAGCGAGAAGCAACCCATCCAGCAGGCAGTGCCAGGGGCAGACCCCAGCTCTCCTCGCCCCACTCCAAGGGCTCTGGCTGGCGGCGCGCGGGGTATGATGGCAGCTAAGCCTGCATCGCCCCTGGGCTCAGGCTGGGAGCCACGCTCGCTGCGCAGCGCTGGCTGGTAGCTCCACCCCCGGGAGACCTGGCACCTTTTACACGCGCTGTCCTGCGAAATTGTTCCCTGCCTAGTCGTTTCCTGTGGCACTCGGTGTACCCACAATGCATCGTACAGGACACTGCTGCAGATCTACCGCACTTGATTCACCCTCCTTTATTGTCCCGCCTTCCCAAGCACAGTCTGTTCTCGCTACTGGGAACTCTATTGCCAACTCTATTTACCTTTATGTGATTGGTTCTCTTCCCTATGTCACTGGGGGCGTTGGCCTGCTGGACTTTGGATCCCGCCTCCTCGCTCAATGAGTTGTTATTATTGGGTAACTCTGTGACTGCCACGCCAGGTTAACATTCTGGTTGGCCAACGAGCTTGGTCGTCGGAGCAGTAACCAGGCAGCAGGTTAGATTGAGTGCGTTTCCACGTCAGTGAGAGCAGAGCGCAGCCGGTCCCTCTTGCTTGTCCCCCACTGGCCTTTGCTCTGTCTCGGCCCCGCGCGCAGCCCTCGGCCGGCCGGAATCGCTGCTCCGCGGTCGCCTCCCTCGCAGCGCCGCGCGCCGGCTCGATATGTGAAGCAGCCGCCGGTCCGCTAGCAACAGGCGCCGCCATTTTGGATGCGGGGGTCAGTAGTGACGGGTGGCGAGCCCCTATCGCGATATTGACGCGGCGCGGAGATCCCGCGGGTGGGGAGTCGGGGCCGGGGGAGCCCCGACAGCGCGGGCGGGGGCAGGCTGTGGGCTGTCCCGGTGAGCAGCGGTGTGCGGACGTGCCGGGGACGGAACTGGGAGCTCCCGGGGCGAGGCGGCGGGTTGGGCCCTAGGTCGGTGGCGGCGGGGTGAGCTGCGAGGGCCCCGGTTTTGGGTGTATGCTGGGCAGGGGGCAGGGTGTCGGGCCTAGCCATGGGGGGTGGGTGGGTGGCGGTGTGTCCTGCACAGGGTGCTGGTGGAGTGGGGTTCGGCCCAGCCATGGGTGGGTGACGGTGTGTCCTGGGCAAGGTGCAGGCGGAGGGGAGCTCGGCCCAACCCTGTGTGTGTATGTGGTGTTGGTGTATCCTGGCCCAGCCCCAGCCGATGGAGGGTTGGAGATGGGAACATGTTGCCACAATTTCCTGCCGTGATATTTATCCCATTTTAGGCCTGATTTCCTTCTCCTCCTCCCCCCTCTCGCCCCCCCCCCCCAGGCTTCATCTTTCTCTTGTGTGAACCTCCCTGGCTACAAGGAGATAGAGACATATGTATTTGCCAAGTGCTTTTCCTCTGAATGTGTCAAGAAATAACTGTGGGGTTAGGGTCAGTTTTGCCTTGGATTAAATTCATTCAAAGGTAAACACAGATTACTCAAATCTGGCCAAAGTAATATAAACCAGCCCTGTACACTGATTGGTTCTCTGCATATGGGATCCCCTGAAGGGGACAGACCTGGAGTCACTGGTCAGGTGTGTGATAATGTCTGCCCATGTTGTAGCAGCACTTCTAAGAAAGCTGATTGGAATTGTTCAGTGGGGAGAGAATAAAATACGATAATGTGGCCCACTCCTAGCTGGAGGACAGTCTAGTTCTAGTCACCTCCCCCTAATTTAGGTGGAGCACAGATTAAAAAGGTTGAGCTAAGAGCAGTATGGTCAATCAGCAGGATGGTGGTATATACACATGACTAAACTCTAGGATTATTTAGGCTGGAAAGAGTTGGAGGGGACTTTCGTGAAGTGAGCAGTTATGAATAATTCACTGAGTATAGGTAATTTAAAAAAAGTGAAAGTGAAGACTACTTTACACAACATATAGATAACCTTTTTAATTGCTGGAGGAGGAAGGATCAAAGACAGTGGCCTTATTAAATGGACAGTATCAACACAAGACTTTTTGAACTGTAAAAGCTAAGACAGTTTAATCAGTCGTAAGTAGAGAAAAAGCATTCACCCTACTATTTATGCTGTTTAATTTTTATTTTTCACTCTTTTTTGATAGTTAAAAGATGGTATTCTGTTTCACTTCTTGGTTCCCATATGCTAGCTCAGTGCTGTTGTATTTAGGCTTACAACAGCACTGCAGAGGAGTTATACCACTCTTGCCTCTCCCTTATACCAAGTAGTATGTTACAACTACTTTTGAGAGCACTCTAAACTGTCTCATCAAGTATAAATGCCACAATAAATAAATGAAGATATTCCATCTCCTAGAACGGACCTTGAAAGGTCATCAAGTCCAGTCCCCTGCCTTCACTAGCAGGACCAAGTACTGCTTTTGCCCCAGATCCCTAAGTGACCCCCCTCAAGGATTGAACTCACAACCCTGGGTTTATCAGGCCAATGCTCAAACCACTGAGCTATCCCTCCCCCAATGTCTGTTCTGTGTCACCAGACCGTAGCACAGTATGGTGAAATAAGAACCAAACCTCTTGGGTTAATAAAAGTACTCTTCTGTGTTATTTTTTAGATATTAGGAAAAGCTTTCTAACTAAAAGAGGGGTTTAATGCTGTAATAGGCTCCTAAGGAAGGTTATGGAATCCCTATCAGTCCAACAGGGATGGTCTAGAATTACTTGGACCTGCCTCAGTTCAGGGGGCTGGACTTGATGACTTCTTGAGGTCCCTTCCAGCCCTACATATCTATGATTCTGTGATTTTTGGCCAGAGAATTAGCCTTAAGAGGAGTTTCTTCAACTGTTTCAGCTCTTGCAGCTCCCAGTTATTATACTGTATGTAAAAAGCTCAAGTGAATTAGACTTCTAAATCAACTTTCTATATGAAGATTTACAGGCAAGTGCAGGCTATATCACTGTATTGACTTGGTTTTTAGGTAGCCTGGCTAGCTGTGCAGTAGGCAGGAACTGTTGATGTGATTTGTGGACTGATGAATGTTCCCTAATCTTATTCCTTAATAGCAGTTTATCTGCAGTGAGACTTGACTGCATCCTGCTCAGAAATTTTCAAATTACAGTAGAACCCCGATTTTATGAACATCAATCTTATGAATGACTGGTTATGTGAACCATTTTTCTGCCACCAAAGTCATTTTTCTGCTGCCGAATGTGACTTCAATCCTTCAACCAATGTTCAAAAAGCTGTACAGGTTTGAAAAGGCTGAGAGATTTGGTGACAAAGATGATATGCAGTTCTATCAAACAAAGAAAAATCAGGCATACTGTATACATTTATCATTTGTATCAGTGAAAAATTAATAAATTTAACTTGTGCACCATATGTCCTGTAAGTTTGAAATGTTTAATTTTATGAACTTTCAAATACGCAGTTAATTCACAAAATAGGTGATCTACTGTCTTGTTATGAACATTGCACATCTGGCTCAACAGCAGCCTGGTTTTGAACTAAATCACCTTTCCCAATTGTAGAAGTGGATTGGATCCATTTCTGTGATTGCTGTCCATTGTGGTGGTTTCATTGGCATTGGGTCTGCAGGTAACTGGTATTCAGTAAGGGTCAAAAAAGGTGATGGAAAGAGGTGACTTGATGGAAAACTAACAGCTTAACCAGAGGATGGTGTTATCTCTTGGTCGTATTTCCCAAGGCACTAGCTTCCCAAAAGGACTCGAAGTGGTTTCCCAAAATAGTACACCTGACTCTTGATGTCTGTACCCAAGAGATGTACATATGTACTTGACTATTGAGTAACCAAGGGTTCCATCTGGGTGTGAGATAGTAGCATATGCCTTTGATGGCACACATTTGAAGCATTTTTGAATGTGGAATTGATGATGTAAGATCACACACAGGTACTTCAATTGATGATCATTTGGCTGCTAGAGAGCACTGCTGAAGGCTCTCATCAGCAGAATGATTTGGCAGACAAGAACATACTAACTGAAACTTGTAAACATTTCAGACTGATTCTAGCCACAGGATTTAGACCTATTAGCTAGAGGTTGATACAAAATAAGATAGGCACCTACAGTGGAGTCGCATCATAGGCGCATTTAACTTACACGATTTTAACTATACGTGCTCGGCAAAACAAAAAAAAAGAGAGAAAAATAACAATTTAAATACTGTACCTGTAGTGCGGGCGATTCCGCCCGCCATTCCTCTCAATGAGTGTTTGACTATACGCGATTTTTGCCTTACGCGCTGACTTCAGAACCTAACCCCTGCGTAAGATGTGACTCCCCTGTATAAGGTCCAGGACAGCATCTGGTGGGAAGCACTTTATCTGCTGTGGGGTGGGGAAGAAGACTTCTTTTCAAGGATGTCCTTGTACTCTGAATAGGGCACTATTTCATATGGTGTCCATCTTGAAGACACTTGGTTATTGCAGTAAAGAGGACCATGTAAGGGACTTTCTTCTTCCTCCCTCCACATTGCCCAGCCTACTGACTATTGGGGGGATTCAATACTTCTTCCTCCTTTCCTCTCTTTTCAAGTCCTATTCACATGGGAATAACTCCAATGTTTACTTTTGCTGCCACTCATAATGTTCCTGCATATTAGCAGTGGTAGTGTTATGACTTTTGTTATAGCTTCACTGCTGTCTCTAAAGATCTGAATAAAGCTGCAGTGATTCTGAGTAGAGCTAGATTCAGGAAGTCAGACCCTTCACCAGAAAGGAATATGTATTTGGGAGGGATGAGCTTTTGCTTCAAGAAGCTCAATTCCTTAAAAGTAGCTGAAATTTAACAGGTGTCTAGTTTTTATAGATTTTAAAGCCAGAAGGGGCCAGTAGGTCATCTAGTCTGACCTCCTGCATTACATAGGCCATATAATTTCATCTAGTTACTTCTGTATTGAGCCCAATAACTTGTTTGAAGCATATCTTCCAGAAAGGCATCCTGTATTGCATTGGGGAATCCGCCATTTTCCTTGGTAGTTTGTTCCAATGGTTGTTAATCACCCTGCCTGTTCAAAGTTCTACAAACAAAATTCTGCAAAAAACTTCCTTATCAGGGTCATAAGAAAGTGTCAGATCCTCTGATTTTTTTTTAAAGTATCTGCATTTGATGAATTCTGTAATTGTTCTGCTGATGTCTCAAACTCAGCTGATTAAAAATTAAACTTCTCATCTTTGCTTCCAGTCCCTCTATACATCCTCATTCCTTGGCTAGCCTTCCACTTCCTACTCATCTGGGTTTGCAGGCATGGTGTCCTGTCACTCTGGTCTCCTGATCAGTCCTGTTGCTTATTTGTCTTAACCTTAATCAGTCTGTGTGTTACTTACCACCCCCCATTTCTCTATCTTTGTCCATGCTTGGGTCATATCTAGCATTAATTACTGTAATATTGTATTCTTTTATCCATGCCTTTTCACTTCTGTGTACCTCACAGTCCATCAAAAATGTTGCTGCTTCTCCAGTCATACCATTCTTTCACCCCTCCCTGTGCAAATCCCTTCATTGGCTTTCTATCTCAGTACATCAAATTCAGGCTTCTCGCCCCTACATTCAAGGCCCTGCATGACGTCCGGCTGTCTTGGACTACATCTCTGCTTTTATCTGCTCCCATTTTCCCTCCCTTTGGTCTGTCCAATTCTGTAAACCTTACTTCTTCCTTGATGTTGTCCTGAACTTGACTTCATGCTTGTGTTCTTCCTCCTCCTAAGGTGCATGTGAAAGCAACATCTAACACAAATGGCTTTAATCTTTTAAAGTTTAACATCCCAAGGAGCTGCTATCCCAGGCAAATCAAATAGCAGTAGCCTATATAAAGGGCACAAATAAGAAGTCTAAGGCTGGTTTCCTGTACTATATAGGGCTGCAATGTTTACATAGCACAGTAGATGTGCATGGCGTTATACCATGGGTAAACTTATACTCATAAATAACAGGAATTCTTGTGGTTACTGGGAAATAAGTGAGACAGGTAGCTCAAGTGCAGTTGTTTATTACTGCACTTATCCCCTGATGTATCTAACTAGCTGCTTTGAATGCTTCTTATATGGAAAAGTGTGGTGTCTTTCTCATAGTAGAATAACTGTATTGGTCTGCACGTGGAAAACTGGGAATATACCCAAATGGTTCTATTGGGAACTCTCCTGTAACTAACCTACACTCTACAAATATTTCTCGCTTGTCAATTGCATCGCTACCGTGTCCCTTACAGACCTGCGGACCAGATTGATTTCCTGCCCAAGGCATTGGGTGATTCAGTGTGCTTTATTTTGAACAACTAGGCATTAACCTGGATTCTCTTTATTTGTTAGGACTGTCAGGATGGTGGATAAGAATATTTACATTGTCCAAGGTGAAATCAATACAGTGGTGGGTGCCATAAAACGCAATGCTCGATGGAATACTCACACGCATTTGGTAAGTTTGCTTGGGTTGGTGAGATCTGTTTGTGTTATGAAGAACCTAGAAACTGTAAATTTTAATAAAATCAAACTTCCTGTCTCCTCAAACTAAAGCACCCTACAGTAGTTTTCTAGGTTACACAGGAATAATAAGTTGCTATGGTTTGCTACTTTAGACAGCTTTGACCTTCTAACTGTATGTGCTTGTAAGCATGTATGTTGTACTGGTGAGCACCGAGAGATGAAGCTGGAAATCTATTGCCCCATGGGTTGGAAAAGTGACTGAGTTGGGGATATGATTATACATCCTCACACTCACTTTAACATTTTATTCAGACCCTTGTAGGAATCTCTCCTGGTGTCATAGGGAGTGTTTGAAAATACTGCCTGTTTCATTTTAGCATCATTTTACATGCCTTTTGTGTCCTGCCGTGGCTGACAGTTTAAAACCACAAGAGCCAAGAAATGTAAATTTGGGACATAGAGTAAGTTAATAAAAATGGGGCATTTTTCACCCTTTGTGTGGTACATTGTCACTTTATCTTTTTATGTCTGTTTTGTGACTGCTAGCTATGCCATTGACTGAAATAATATTCCAAAACCTGATTTGTTAAAAGATCACTAATGTGAGATTTTTGGTTCACATGATGTTCTCAGCCAGCATTTCAGTTTAGCAGTGTAATGTGTATGTGTTGTACTATATCTGTGATGAACTGTAAAATGGCACATGAAACAGATGGTTCTAATCTAGCATAAATGGCTTTAATTTCAAACGGCAGGTCTTTTTGCCTTCTTAGAAGCATTCCTTCATTAGCGCTTGGTGTCTTCCAGTAGGAGTTGTGGCTGCATGTGCATGCAGCTTGGAGGAACCACTGCCTGTGCTCATAAAAATAGATATACTAAATTATGGCTGTAGGAAATAGCTACTCTGGTAACTTTCTTACAGTGGCTCTTTTTTCAAGTTACTGTTGTAGTGCCAAGTATTGTTGGTGTGTTCCCATTATAAATCACTCTGAGGATTAAATTGGTTCATAAGGATTTGCTATGGGTGTTAATGTGGCATATATCTACCCTGAACGTTATTGAGTAGTGGAAAGAAAATCAGAATTCTTTCTTACGACAGTAAAGCGAAAACAGAGTGCTGAGTCTTGAGAGGGCATTCTGCTCTTGACCCCCAAGCTATACAGCAGTGGAAAATTGTAAAGGAAAACTGAATACTTTCCCCTGACCTTGATGGAATAGGGAGATTGAAACTAATGAACCCAACCTACCTATCTTCCCCTCTTTGGAAAATCTCTCAATACGGTTTGTCCTGAAGGAAAACTAAAAGGAGATGATATCTTTGTGGACCCTGCATACCTTTTTTACTGTGTGATTTAGGTATCTATCTGTCTCATTAAGTACTTCCTTTGTTTGTGTAACCTGTAGGATGAAGAACGGGATCCTCTGCTGCACAGCTTCAGTTTATTGAAAGAAGTGCTAAATAACATAACCGGTAAGTGCACATGTGCACTGTGCAGGTATGAATATACAATAGAACATGTGTAAATATGGTATGTCTGTACCTGGGCACAAATATAGCATCTTATGACTGTCACTTTTTACCCAAGAATCAGATATTTAGTAATGGAAAAGCACTAACACGTACACCCTTTATAGAAAATAGTAAATCAGTCCATAAATAGGGGAAATGCCTTTTTACTGGGAGTGTGTACACATGCTTATGACTAATCTCATGCCATTTATGTGCTTATACCAGTTACTCAAACATCTTGCCTGTGTTGTTAGACTTTCATCCACCTGAGAAATGTTGGTGTCTAGCATACCTGCTTGTTCTGAGGCATGGTATTGCTTTTATAACTTTTTCTGTAGCACTGGCTAATGAATCTCTGACCCCTTGAAGTTTATTTCATGACCATATGATCTGAGCTTTAGACAAACAGTTTACGCTCTGACCATTTGTTTTTTATATATTGTGTTGTGTTTATACAGTACATGTGAGGGACGCTTCAAATATATTTCTGTGCAATCTGTAGCCATTGTACCCGTGCCTCTCTGTTCACCCTGATCTGTCTCTATAATCCAGTATGTTTGTAGTATTATATGAGATCAGTACATAAACATATGTAGTCTTTCTGTCCAAGCTGTGATAAGTAATATATGGAGATATACCCATCTCATAGAACTAGAAGGGACCCCAAAAGGTCATCGAGTCCAGCCCCCTGCCTTCACTAGCAGTGTGTTTTGTTCCTGTACGTAGTCATGAGTGACAGGAAAATTCTGCTTGGAAAGGAGCCTCCCATTGTTTGATTTCTTCCGCCTCCCATCTCTTAGGACTGCAGGTTTGGTCACCTGCTGCCTGTAATTAATGGCAAACAGACTGCAATTTCAACATAAATCTCCTGGGTTCAGGGATGAAACCCTGGTTAGCCTTGCACTGAAGGGAGGCCAGCAGCTGTGATAGATGTTCCTGCAATGGTTGCTAGAATTCCACTATTGTTCTTCCTTCTTTCTGGAAGTGAACCTATGTGGATTAATTTCCCTGAGCTTTGAGAGGACAGGTCACTCTTATATGGTACGTATAAACCAGTCTGATAGGACCTCATTCTGAGCCAGAATGGGTCATTGGTACACTTTAATGGGCCAATAGCTCTCTGGAATGTGAGTCCTGCTAACTTTATTTTTTCTGGAGCAGAATGTCTTCTCTGACTAACAGTGTCAGGGCAGTTGCATTACTCTAAGCTAGTCATGTGTTGGCATGAGCCTTTCCCTCTCAGACTCACAAGTCAGGTGTGCATTCTGTTAGATCTCACCAGATTCGATTGTCTCATGACTGAACATAACAGAGAAACAAACTTTGCAATATTATGCAATGGCTGCTTCACTACTGAACTCTGTCTACAACCACAAGAACGTTAAGCTTCTTTTGAGTTGGTCTCTGCACATTCCCACTGGTGGGCTTTGCTCACTACTCTTTTGGCACTGAGTTTAGGAACCCACTAAGAAAGCAGTGTTCATTGAAACTCCAGGAGCATCACCTCCTGGCACTGAAGAGAGGTTATAGGAGTGAGTCAGTGGAGAGCTATAATTCCTTCCTTTTTCATGACTAGCTGCAGGCATAGGGGCTTCTGCTCTGTGACTGGAGAACTTGCTTGGTCTTAAAAAAAAAAAAAATCTGTTAGCTTGTAGTACAGAAATTTTAGGTAGGTAGTTTCTGCCCGGTTAAATTTCTCGACTATGTTTTGGTTCTGAGGCATCATGTCAGAACCCAAAGTCCTTGAGCAAGTCCGTTTAAATGCTTTGGAGCCAAGTACTCCCTGGAATCCCTTTATGCCTAACACCTGAAAGGATAGGGACGTTCTGCTCCATTCCTTGGTTGTAAGAAGTGATTTCATATGTTACCACTGCAATGGCTCTCACTTGAATGAGGCTGTGATTCTCTCTGAGTTGGGCCTCCTGAAGCCCTTTCCTGGCAGTAATTAGAGTAACAGACATTATCAGAAATGGTGTGTCAAGCAATAACGAAATTGAACTGGAGAGTCGTGATATTTTCATACAGTCACAATGAGTAGCTGGCAGGGCTTGGTGAACATTTGGGCACTGTCCACAATAACTTCTCTCGAATGAATTCAATCCAAACCACTAATTGCTCATTGTAAAGAGAGAGTTCCATGTACTGAGTAACCCAGAAGCTTCCTGTGAGCTCCCGAGGGATTATGCAAAAATGGCCTGTGTTCATTCTGCCATGGTGGTGTCGAGTGCCTGCTTGTGTATGACATTAGTGTGTGATCTCACTTTGATCACAAGGTGCTCTCCTAAACAGGCAGTTTCAGCACCAGTGACTGCTCTGATTTTAATGCCTGAGAATAGGAGACAGATGCTTTACCCAGTTTGACTGAGCCTTAGGCATGCGATGGAATCCAAGCAGTGCTTTGTAGTATTGGTGGAGTCTGCTGAAGGATGTCCACTACTATGCTAAGCCCAGCACCTTCTCTGGGCAGTGAGGCCAGAGCTTAGTTCTTGTCCAGCCTTTCTTTTCATGTCTCTTTCATTAACTCATGGAAGCACATGGCTTTTATATTTAAATTTATTCAAGCTGTAATCTTTGACATTTGAGTTAGCTTTTAGTACAGTTTTGCATTTATAGTAATATATATTATGTATTTTCTCAGTCCCCCAAGAATCCATTTTAATCTGTTCCGGATGCAAATTTCAGACTGCCTTGTCCCATCTCCCTTCTTGCTCTCCCCCTTTTCTCCCCCCACGGAGCATGTTTGATCAGGTGTGGCAGGAATATCCACTGTCAAGCTGCGCCCTTTATATTAGTCAATATTATCCTTCCCTCCCTCCCACTCCCTTCGTTCTCCTCTGGGCTTTACCAGTTGATTTATAATTTTGGAATTCTCATCGGAATCTGTAATACAGTTTGTTCATTATTTAACCAAAACCTGTTTAATGAGCAGAGAGAGGCAATGTAAATGTTAGGCAAGTTGCAGTGGAGTACCTTTTGTTCTCCTCTGAGCTGGTGGGTATTTAACTCTGTCCTGACTGTAATGCTTAAATACCCTGGCCTGGGGTGTAGAGGTGCACCCCATTGCCTCCAGCAGCTCAAGATTTTCACTTCAAAGGGTTGCTCTTCAGGATTCAATAAACTGCATAATACAGTCATAATCTGAATTACCAACAATAATGATAAGCCCCCACTAACTTGTGGGAGCCCATCTATTCACGAGATAAGCAGAGTTTCAGGTGGAACCATGTTCAAGCAGACTCCTAAGGGTAGTGTCTGTAGAAGAGACTCTTGTTCATTGGGAAATATTAGTGATGTAGAGCATGGGATTTGTTAAATTTCTAAAGTTCATGTAACTTCCATAGCAAAGGCCTCTTGTACTCCTTGGACCTAAACTTTGTAACATGAGCCTGGATTCTGCAGTAATTTGGTGCTGAAACTTAAACTGAAGCTGCCTCAGAATTTAAATTTTTAAAGATGTTTTTAATAATTTGAAAATGAATAATACAGTTACTACAGTAGACCCAGTGCGTTCTCTTGGATGGTGTCCCTAACCTGTTTGCCAGAAGCTGGGAATGAGCGACAGAGAATGGATCTCTTCATGATTACCTATTCTGTTCATTCCCTCTGGGGCACCTGGCATTAGCCACTGTCCGAAGACAGGATACTGGGCTGGATGGACCTTTGGTCTGACCCAGTATGGCTGTTCTTCTGTTTAGCTTACTTTATGTTCTCACCTTTTCAATCATCATTTTTGCTGTTCAGTGTTCTGCAGATTTTTGTATTGATGCACAGTTGCAACAAAAATATTAGGTACACAGGAGGTCTTGGCAGTGGGTAGGGGGCATTTGGGGCTTTTGGCACATGGGGAAGTTTGGGAGGCAATCTGCGATAAGCTTATTAGCTGAACATTTCTACTAAAATAATCAATTAAATAGTTTTGCTCATGTAAGTCATAGTCTGGCTGGGAGTCTTGTTTTGCTAGGCACTACAAACATGAATGGCTTCATGACCTTCTCATAAACAAACTAGAGACAGAGCCTAGATGAAACTAATATAAGGTGGGTGCACAACTGGTTGGAAAACCATACTCGGAGAGCAGTTACCAGTGGCTTCCAATAGAGCTGGAAGGGTATGATGGTTGGGGTTCCACAGGGATCTGTCCTGGTTCCGGTTCTATTCAATATCTTCAAAAATTATTCGGATAATGGCATAGAGAGTACACTTATAAAGTTTGCGGAGGATACCAAGCTGGGAGGGGTTGCAAGGGCTTTGGAGGACAGGATTAAAATTCAAAATGATCTTGACAAACTGGAGAAATGGTCTGAGAGAAAAAGGATGAAATTCAATCAGGACAAATGCAAAGTGCTACACTTAAGAAGGAATAATCAGTTGCACAAATACAAAATGGGAAATGACTGCGTAGGAAGGAGTACTCCAGAAAAGGATCTAACAGTTATAGCGGATCACAAACTAAATATGAGTCAACAATGTAACCTTGTTACATCCCAGAATGATTGCTTTTTTTTTTTTTTTTTTTTTTTTTTTTTGTATTAGCAGGTGTGTTGTAAGCAAGACACAAGAAGTACACCTCTACCCCGATATAACGCGACCCGATATAACACAAATTCTGATATAACATGGTAAAGCAGTGCTCTGGGGGTGGGGGGAGCTGCACACTCCGGTGAATCAAAGCAAGTTCGATATAACGCCGTTTCACCTATAACATGGTAAGATTTTTTTGGCTCCCGAGGACAGCGTTATGTAGAGGTGTAGTTCTTCCACTCTACACAGCACTGATAAGACCTCACGTGGAGTATTGTGTCCAGTTCTGGGTACCACATTTTGGAAAGATGTGGACAAATTTTAGAAAGTCCAGAGAAGAGCAACAAAAATGGTGAAATGTCTAGAAAACATGACCTATGAAGAAAGACTGAAAAAAAAATTGGGTTTGTTTAGTCTGGAGAAGAGAAGACTGAGGAGTA